ATTTTTGATTGATCTTATAAACAAAATCAAATTTCAAAGGTTCAATATGTTAGTTCATTAAGATTATGGTGGTTTTAGTCACCTTCATTTAAATACAAGTATGAGAAATAATTGTCAATCCTGTATTTGCAGCTTCGAGGATCCTGGTCCTCATGGAAGTGGACGGTATTCCGAGCACATGTTACCCGAAGTTGAGATGGAAGACTTTCGAAAGGGAGCACAGGTGTGGTATTATATTTTGATACAGTACGTTGTTTGTGAAAAATACAGAGATCTACTATCATTTCCTATGATGCACCAATACGGACACGTGTGTCTGACATAACACGTGTCGGATACGTCGACACACAATTTTTCAAAAAGTAATGACACGACATGTCGTCGACACATTGATTATTTTTTTAAAATTCTTTATATATATAGTATAAATTTAGTTTTATACTTGTTACTAGTTTTTCTTATTGAAATATTTTATCAATTAAGAAAATAAAAATAATAATCTTGGACACGGACACGCTACGCTAGTTGAAGTGTCCGTCCGTAGAGATCATTTCTATTGTTTTCAAATGAACAACGGTTAATTATACAGGGAAGAAGCTAATATTGTTTATTACTTACTAATCGACCTTTCATTTCCATATATGAGATTGCGATTGTCAACTTTATCTTACACAGAGAGTAAAAAGAAAAAGATATGTACAATCTCGTTTTGTTGGATTCCTAAATAATGTATGAGCGCGGACAATTCTATAACCTTTCTGGGGAAAATAATGAATTAATTTGATTATAATCCCACGGGTTCGAATTTACAAGTTGCCCATGGATTATATTTTGGTACACATCTGCAATGTTGTCAGGGTTGACATTTTGGGATCTAATTAACCTAACTGTAGCTTGCTCAGTTTCAGCATGTTTAGATTCTCTTGTTTTGATTTGTTTCTTTCTGGACATTGCAGTGGTTCACAATGAAGCGGCAGCATGCTACTATAATCATGGCTGACAGTCTCTACTATACGAAATTTAGGATTTATTGCAAGGTGATCACAATTTGTCTTATTATATATTTCTTTCTGGCACTGTAATTTGCTTCTTCTTCATATAGTTCTATTAAAGGCTTGTTTGAGCCCCATTTTTTTTCAAAAAAATGCATTTTTGAATAGTATATTGATGAGAAATATGTGGTTAAAAAATAAAGAAAATTTTTGAATTTGTGTGTGGAATTATTTTATTGAAGAATATGTGGTTGAAATGAGATCAAAAGACTATTCAAGAATGCATTTTTTTTTTAAAAAAAAATGAGGCTCAAACAAGGGCTAAATTTCAGTTATTTGTAGACAATTTGATTCTTTCTCAAGCACTGGTTAGAATATATCTTTGAATAGTATTGACCTGGACTAATCATGTCCTAAGAATAACCTTTCTATAAACTATGTGAGCAAAAGCAATAGTGCATTTAGCGTCAAATGTACAATACTTCAATTGACCATCGACACAGAGTCAGTGACCATTTCGTACATCATCTGATGGATGATTATATGGGACTCAAAGTGGTAGGCTTATAAGGTATAAACTATTCTCAGTATTATGGAACGTGCATCGGAAATCTCTCAGCGAACTGTTGTATAAGTTAACAAAACTTGGAAACATGGTTAAGACAACAAAGAATTCAGTAAAAAAAGGCCATATCATTCTGCTTTCAATGTTATCTAATGGATGCGAAATATTTCTATACAACAGATCTAGTTGATTACTATTTTATTTACTAGAGTTTGAGGTTATTGTTGCAAATGAATGGACAGAGTAGGGCTAGAGGGGGCAGGTGAAGGTGACTTTAGATGATAAAAAGTATGATATTTCACTTGTCCGTGATTATCCACTTTTCTATTAAGCATATTACCACAATATGGACTTGGGACACGGGAATGGATATGGACATGACAACTTATCGGTTTCCTGAAAGTAGGATCAGACGGATTGATTAAAATTTTTGAACAGCTCTCCTCAACTGAAGGCGCACCTAATGTTACTGTACATAATTATATTAAGCCCTATTTTGTGAAGATTAAAATCAGATTTTTAGTAGATTTTGATAAAAGTTAACGAAATGTGTTGTTGAAAATTTGTAGATCCTAAGAAATATGTGGTTAAAATTAATTGTTGACTTTGACTTGAATGAATCATCTTGCCTTCATCATCTGAAAAATAAGAGGGATAACGTGGGATGAGCTAACAGCGTAAGCAAACTTCATGCATATGATGCATGCTTATGATGTGTATGAATTACTTTAAAATAAAAGGTATTTTTCATTATGTATCCCTTTTTCTTTCGTTTCTTTAAACCCGGCATCTATGCCCAAACCGTTAACTTACACACTGTCCGCTCTGAAAAAATTTGAGCCCATCTTACCCCTAATGGGTTTCTAGTGGATTTATATCGCATCCCTACGATTCAAACCCTTTCTTTTAAGAATAATAATACTAGGATTCAACTTAAGTCATTTTTAAGGGAAAGGTTAGGGGTTTAAGTTCCCTTCCAAACTGGACTAAATCTTTACTTCTATGATTTTCCATTTTTTATAAATTAATATCATTTTTAGCTTTGGTTTCGAATTTTGAAGTTGGAATTTTTTGAACTAGAGGAATCATTATTTATTTTACCAAGTTCTTGACTTGTTTAGGACATTCCCTCCCATGTCAGAAATTAAAATAATAATTAAAAAAATGTAAGATGCACTAGGTGGTATAGTAGACAAGTGCTTGAGAAGTGTCAAGGAAGTGTCCCTCGCATGTGAAAAAATTAAAAATGTATGAAAAATAGGACACACCATGTAGCCTATGAGATGCTTGTCATGGAGTGTACTGAGTGTCGAACACCGAAACTCCACCTTAGGAGGATTCTATGTGCCTCAGGTTATGTTTATTTATTTGTGTAGACGTGTAAATGGCTCTGAATAAAAATCTATGTTTTGAAATTTGGCTCATATTAAATTACTGCCCCCATCTCATTGAACCACTGTTGACATCTGTATCTTTTGATTAAACAGCCAGGCATGGAATATGGACGCAACTGCTATTCTGATGAACACTATTTGCCAACATTTTTCAATGTAAGGATTGTTTATATCTACGTTTTTATTGTATAATTTAGGACATACGCATCTCGGATAATTTAAAGGGAATAGCTTTTCATTGTTTCAGATTCTTGATCCAGCTGGAATTGCAAATTGGTCCGTCACACATGTTGATTGGTCTGAAGGGAAGTGGCATCCAAAAGCATATCGGTCACAGGATGTTACCTTAGAGCTAATGAGAAAGATTACAGTATGGCTCCACTCTTCCTGAAGTTTATATCATTTGCATTTTATAGCTTCCACTTTTTGCCCCTGTTCTGAGAGTTATAGTATATTTTTAGATATAACGTCTCAAATTATCTTATGGTCAACTATATCATCGAAAATATTGGTTCAAATGAATCTTGATCGGTGTTATGGCCTCAATTGCGTAGACTTGCAGAGAACAAAATGATACTTTATAGTATAATTTTCGATAAACAATCTCAAATTATCTTAAAGTTTATTATATCATCGAAAATTATTTCTCCCAATAATCTCAAATTATCTTATAGTTTATTATATCATTCGAAAATTATTTCTCCCAATGAATCTTGATTTGGTATTGTTGCCTAAATATGTAGACTTGCAGAGAACAGAATGGTACTTTATTTGTGAGTTGACTAATGAAGCAGAGCTAACGCTTATTTTCAATTGTTTTTGCAGTCTATTGTAGATAGTGTGCATGTTACAAGCCATGAAAGGGTTAGTGTCATTGACGAAAAACTATTCTTCGTTTTGATATATCGGGATTCTGAAACTTGTTCGTTTTGTGCTGCAGAAGGAAATTCAGATTAGACCTTGCTTGTGGAATGGAAATCAACGTCCGTGTTACTTGTTTGCAAGGAAATTCTTGCCCGAAACTCTTAATAGTTTGATGGCCATTTTCTCCAACTATACGTCTGTATGAGTGGGCTTATAGCTTCAGTGTTGATTCTTTGGTCGATTCAAGAGTTGCATTCGACCCCGTTATCGCCATTTCTAGTTAATCTTAATTCTGTTGTTGTCAAGAGCATCGTTTTATATGGGATTGAGTGCTCCCCAATTTGACTTCTCTTTTAGTACCAATGCAATTGGAAGAAACATTGGAGGTTACTCGAAGCCGAGCTGAAGATAAAGAAAGTTGCTGCCAGTGTTGATGACGATGATTTTGTGTAATTTCCCCATTGATTTTGTGGCTGCTTAAGTTTATACACGGAAAAAAAAAAGGAAAGAGAGAATAAAGTCTGGGGACTTACTGCAGCACTGTATCGTAGATACATCTTTATAGAAGTTGCAAATACGGACTTGGGACAAACAATTTATTTTTGTCATTTTTAATGTGAAACTAAATTTTGATTTCCATTTTTCTTTTCTTTCGAGTAGAATTCCTGATATTCGAATTATGGTGTTTGTAAAAAAGTTTTACATGTTCACGACATTTTGCAAGTCTTTATTTAGACTCTATTTCCAGCATGTTTGGTACAGAGGATTATTGAATGGAACTAGATAGTATTTAAGAGAGAGAGACATCTTTAAATCACAATAAATACGCACAACTGCAATTTGAATGCAAAACTGAAGTTTTTAAGGCAAAAAGATGAGCCAAGAATGGCAGCATACACCAAGAAAACAAAACTGATGTACATTATCACATTCATTACGGCTGCAATACTCCTATCTTCTTCCTCAGCCATCCCACCTGCTGGTCGAGATGAAAGAACGCGACCTTCCTCAGCCATCCCACCTGCTGGTCAAGATGAAAGAACAGCCATCCCACCTGCTGGTCAAGATGAAAGAACACAACCTTCCATCGCATCTTGTGTAATGCTCATCTTCAATCCTCCCCTAGACGGTCAACCAAAGATGAAGAATCTACAATGTAGGGACCTTTTGCATTCAATTGCCCTTGTTTACAAAAAAACTGGCAGATTATCACCCGAGTACGTTGAAGCCCTCAAAAAAGTTCCAAAATTCAAGAAGAATCCGAGTCTGTTGCATAAATATCTTCGTGGTCTTCCTGAATGAGCAAATATCAGTGTCTTTATAAGGGTAAGAATCAAAACAAACTCAATATATGAATAAGAACGGTATTTTACTTTTGAAATGAAGAAAATATATGTATACATTTTCAGATATGCACCATACTACTGTTTCTGTTACCTTTTAACCAAAACTTTAGAAACGTATGTATTTGGATGCAGTAGTAGACATTATAAATGATTCTTTTGATTCTTTTTTCTCCTTTAATATTGTCAAGTTTAGCTAACCAAGCACGCCAGTGTTTTTATATTATGTCTTATTTTCTGAAAGTGTTAAATCTTTTTCTTTTCTTTTAGAGGGGGCGGCAGGCAGGGAACAAAGATATCTTTTCCGTGGATTTAGTGGCTATATGTAAGACAGAAAAGGAACCCAATATCCAAATCCGAAAGATAAAAATAATCTGAAGAATTGGCTAAATTTTATATAAGAATTATTCTGAAAAGAGTGGTTAATCTTTCGGTCCTTTGCTTAGTATAAATCCTTGCTCTTAATAAAGTCAAAATCTTTAATAGGTTGAGACTTAGAATGCCAATCCCTAATCAATTTTAAGGATTTTAGATTTATATAAAACCCTATCAAAACCTAAATTCGATAATTTTATTAAAGACATTTTAACATAAGCATATTTATGAAACATATTCGGTATATTAGATTGGACATGACAACCTCAGAAAGTATCATACACCTTACTTCCTTTATCCCGTCTAGTTTGTTCAATCCAACATACCAAACAAGTCCTTGTAGTGCTGCTATTACCAAAAATGTATCTAATTAATATATTTTCATATTTTACCTCCACAACCACTGTAAAGTGTCCATAAAGAGCTATTTTCAGAAAAGTACCTTGTTCATTGTTTGCTGAATAAATCTCAAAACATATTTAATCCAATGGAATCTACAAACCATATGGCTATGATCATAGCACGATGAACCTGCAAGTGCAAAATGGAAAAAAAAATGTCAGAATTGATAAATATTCATTCAAATGTAAGAAACAGAATCACTAAGCCTGTTTATATGAGCAAATTTTGACCATGTTGATAAGTAGCAACATTAGACAGAATGTCTAGATATAAAGGTCTTCAATTAGAAAAAAGAAAGACAAATGTGCACTTTTAGAGAAAATACAAGGCTGATAGCATGATCAGGTTATCCGCCAGTTTCTCACATACGCCCTTTTTTGTTAGCATAAAACCAATTCAAACCAATTCTTTGACCAGCCATCTGACAATAAGTCTCAAAGCCAAACCACAAACCTAACCTGAAGTGTTGCTCACTGAGATTTTTGATTGTACATGACAGAATCAAACAGTCAAAATTCAAATATTTTAAGTCACTTTATCCCATGGCACAGGTTAGGCTAAAAATCAAATAGCATGACTTTTCAAAAGAAATTATTCAGATTTGAAGTAATTGATATGCAGATTGATGCTTATAATCAATCTTGAGATGTAACATTCCTTGTGTATTCATGTTTATGGTAACATCACATAATGAAAATTTAATATCAGATACGCATAATTATAGTTGGATCATAAGTGGTGTTGCTATGCCAGATATTAGCCAAGTATTGACTCAGATAATAAAATAAATGTTTTTTTTTCTGTTATTATTTGTTGAGACCAAATCAATTATTTTATGCATTATGCGTTTAAGTTTGGAAACATGGACGTGTTCGTAGATTTATCTGACTCATTGTATTGTAAAGTCATTGATTTTCCTTGATAAGTATATTATTTTAAGTATTTTTTAATATATAAATCATGCCTTGTTTACATTAGATTGTTTATTTCAAATTATAAAATTTTACTCTCTCTTCTGTAATATTGATGTCTAGAAATGACTTTTGGTAACTCTCCGGGGGTCTATAGAAATTCAGGCATTACAAAATGTACATATCCATAAGGATGCGGGTGAAAAAGCTTATGCATATGTACACACCCATATACATATGAGATCAATTGATCATAACTGTGTTGCATGCTTATTATATCCTATTATGAATAAAATGATGTGTCCACGAGGCTTGGTCATGTTGTATCCTTGTTCAATGCTTCTTAGATTCTATAAGTTTCGTACAACATGCAAATTAATTTTCGTAATCTCTTCCACAAGTCAGGAAGAGAAATAACCGTTGCAAGAAGCTAACTTCTTATAATTTCTGTACCACCTGAATGCCCATATGTTCAAACTAAATCCTAAAAAAAGTTTAATACAAACTTTTAACAATTAGAAAGAAATATAAAAATGAACATACCTACAGATGTGCGTGTATGGCTACTTCCCTGCAATGAAGAGAAAAGGAGATCCCCCTAGGTCTTCAAAGCAAGTATTAGGAGCTTTTGCAACAAACCTCTACCGAAAATGCAAGAGCTGTTTCGCCAGTCTATTTGCCTTTGAGAGCTCGCCTTTTGAACACAGTGAATAAATAAGAGCATAATAAGAATCAAATCCTTGCCAGTTAAATGTTTTGCTCTCTCGATCGTCACAAAACTTCGGCATATTTTCTAAGTTTTCAATGCCACATGACTGAGCATGCAAATTGACTGCATGGCAGATTGACGGCCCAAATTCAGTATTTGCTTTCATATCATGTGGATTCAATCCATTGTAAGCACTAGAACTCCTCCCAGAAGAGAAAAACATGGATCCAACTTCTTCGAGAACATCAACAGCCTCTTGAATACTTCCCCGCTCACACAGAATGGTGAGGAAACTTCCTAAGGACTCCGATTCAACTTCACTATCAACTCTTCTGAGGAGATCAATGACAGATTCAGCCTGAAGCATCTCCCTTAAAATGCTCCAAGACTCTTCCATCCTTCCTTTGGCACAAAGACCACGAATCAGAAACATAAAACCCAGGAAATCTGGTAATAAGCCTTTGCTTTTAAACTCAAGAAAGAATTTCAGAGCTCCTTCCATGTCGCTTTTCAGGCAATAACCATTGATCAGAGCACCAACTGAGAATCCATCTGGCTTAAGGCATCTAACCTGTAAATCCTCAAGAAGATTTAAAGCTTCCTCAAGTAGACTTGACTTGCAATACCCATTAATTAATGAATTGTAAATATGAGTATTTGGCCTAAGGTTCTTGAGGAACATCCTCTCAAACAGCATCCTGGCATCCTGTAAAATTCCTTCTTTCGTTAAAGCATCAATCAGTGTACCATATGTAATTTCAGAAGGAACCACGCCAATTTTTTCCAGTGCATCAAACAATCTAAAAGCTTCAACCAGACACCCTTGGCGGCACAACCCCTTTATGACGGAATTATAGGTGATGATATTGAGAGCTATCCCTTTATTCTTAGCAAAAGAGCAGAGATCTAAAGCCTTATCTACGTGCCCTTCCTTGCAAAGTGCGTCAATTATAACTGAGTAGTCAACAACATTCATAACAGGGGCATTATTTTCTGCACCCACAAGAAGCTCATATGCATCCATAACCCTACCATCTTTTGCAAGTGTCTCAAGAACAGCAAAAGGAATAGTAATAGCCCATGTCCTCTCTTTTGTCTTTGCAAGAAATTTAAGGGCATTTTTGACATCACTGAAACACAGGTAGTATAATATTATCCCGCTCACTCTAAGATCAGACACACCATGAACTTTAACAAATGAAGTCAAGATAGGCTGAGCCAACGATTTTTTGCCATGAAAAAGAAGAAGTCTCAAGATTGAATAGTAACACTTGCTTGTTACAATTGATTCTTTCCTTCTCATAAGCAGTAATGCACTGCATGCTGCCTCGGGAAAACCCTTTTCACATAGGAAACAAATTGCATCATTACATATAATATCAAATATTTCAACTACAACATTTTCCATTCCGTGAATCGCATTTAAAACGCCATCTGCACCTTTTTCTTTAAATGTTGTTCTCATCAACATTTGATACACTGATATATTCAGAGGTAAACCTCTCTCAATGTATTCTATGAAAATTTCAATTGCCATATCTACCATGCCCTTTCTGCAAAGCCCAAAAATAATACTGTTGTAACTAGCAGCTGAAGTATTAGATATTTCCCTGAACTCATCAAACATTTCAAGCGCCTCATCAATTCTACCTGCTTTACAGTATCCTTCAATCAGAGTACAATAAGTAACAGAGTCTGCAGACAAGTTCATTTTTGGTAGTGCCTTAAATACTGCAAGAGCATCCTCAAATAAGCCCACGTTAACTAGTGCTTTAATTAGTATGTTACACATGACTGCATCCATATGAATACCAGCCACTTCCAGTCTACTCTTTGTTTCTAAAATCCCTGACACACTCCTTTCTTCAACATAGCCATGTAACAATGTAGTGTACGTGATGACATCTCCAACTATGCCCTTAGAGAAATCATCTGCTTCAGACATTCTTCCAGCTTTGCACAATCCGTTAATGACAGTATTGTACGTAATAATGCTTGGATTTATACCTCTCTCCACCATTTCAGCAAGCAGCTGTAAAACACGATCAAAATCACCCCTCCTGCAAACTCCATCTATCAAAATCGCATAAGTAAATTCATCAACCTCAATTCCAAAATCTTCAATCATTCTAAACATTGCAAATG